GAAAAGGTCAGAAGCCACGAGCAGCTGGTAAAAGACAGAAGATATCATTTGTTAAGCAGATCAGCCATGTTCCCCACGTGAAAGCGGACGAGTTTCTTTTTTTTTTATTTTTTAATTTTTTTTTTTTTCCAACGTTTATTTATTTTTGGGACAGAGAGAGACAGAGCATGAACGGGGGAGGGGCAGAGAGAGAGGGAGACACAGAATCGGAAACAGGCTCCAGGCTCTGAGCCATCAGCGCAGAGCCCGACGCGGGGCTCGAGCTCACGGACCGCGAGATCGTGACCTGGCTGAAGTCGGACGCTTAACCGACTGCGCCACCCAGGCGCCCCGCGGACGAGTTTCTTAATACACCCTGTATTCTCTGCTCGTGACAACGGGGACTCAGCCAGCAGTGGTCTTCTGTCCCTCAATATCTGAAATATTAAGGGAGAGAATAACACCGCACTGGACAGCAAATGGCTGCACATTTTGGCCAGTGCGAATCGTCTAAATGTAACTAACTAAATGGACTACAGTATTTTTATCTCTAAACCCATTAGGATTTCGAAGCCTCCGACGGCGGTTCGGTTTCTAAAATATTGTCTTCTTTATTTAGAAACTCCACCTCTGACCTTTGAGGCAATCCAGCTGTGTTTCCATAGGGCAGTAGAAGGGGCTGTGTGGAGAAACCACCGAGCTGTGAAGTCATGCTTGAGCATACACACGCAGGCCTGTGCGGATTCATTTGGGGAGATTCCCGAGGGTTGGCCAAGGAAATTCTCGAGTTTAAATTCAGCCTTTCTGATTGACAGTGAAAGTGGTTCAGACCCTTATTCAAAGATGGCTGCGATTTACAGCCTCAGGCACTTGTGGTCATGCTGGACTTTTTTAGAATATTTTCTCTAAATTCTGTGACTGACTCATAAAAAAAAAATCCTCTGAACTTCTGCCCTACGGTCATGTCGCTATAAGATGCGCTGGCTTGTATTAGAACGAGAACTTTAATTGAATTGCAAGATACAGCGCATGGTCTGGTTTGGGAAGGAAGTATCTCTTTAAGATAATAGTCGCTATTTTTAGACTGACTTATACAGAGATAGAAATAAGGATGCTTCTGATCTTCATTTAGCCTTAGACGGGGAGATACCCTCTTAAAATTTCTAGCTACTTAACCGGTTACTCCAGATAAGTTTTTGAAAGCACGTTTAAACGTATTTTTTTAATTTTTTTTTTCAACGTTTATTCATTTTTGGGACAGAGAGAGACAGAGCATGAACGGGGGAGGGGCAGAGAAAGAGGGAGACACAGAATCGGAAACAGGCTCCAGGCTCTGAGCCATCAGCCCAGAGCCTGACGCGGGGCTCGAACTCACGGACCACGAGATCGTGACCTGGCTGATGTCGGACGCTTAACCGACTGCGCCACCCAGGCGCCCCTAAACGTATTTTTTTAAATGTATTCATAATCATGAGTAACTGACCCGACTCTAGTTTTAGAGAGAGATGCTTTTTAAAAAAAAATTTTTTTTAATGTTTATTTATTTTTGAGGCAGAGCACGAGTGGGGGAGGGGCAGAGAGAGAGGGAGACACAGAATCCGAAACAGGCTCCGGGCTCTGAGCTGTCAGCACAGAGCCCGACACGGGGCTCGAACCCACGAACCGTGAGATCATGACCCAAGCCGGAGTCGGACGCTTAACCGACTGAGCCACCCAGGCGCCCCTAGAGAGAGACTCTTAAGTTCCATTGTAAAATAAACCCAACAAAATAAACCTATCAAAAATAGATTTTCCATAGTAAAACTTGGTTGGAACGATGGCACATGCCCGGGCCCGGGATTCCAAAGTGGGAATTAATTCCAAGCAGCTGGTTGCTGGGATTGAGAAGAATGGGTTTATCATCCAGAAGCTTGATTCTGTGCGTGCGTGTGTGTGTGTGTGTGTGTGTGCACATGTGTGTACGTACATACTTAGGCGTGCCTAAGGATGACGTTCTGCTCTCTGTTTCAGAACTTAAGCTATTTTAAAAATTCACCAGGGTCGCCTGGGTGGCTCAGTCGGTTGAGCATCCGACTCTTGGTTTCAGCTCAGGTCATCATCTCATGGTTCATGGGTTCAAGCGCGGCAACGGGCCCCATGCGGACGGTGCGGAGCCTGCTTGGGATTCTCTCTCCCCCTTTCGCTCTCTGCCCCTCCCCTGCTCGCTCTCTATCCCTCCCTCTCTCAAAATAAATATTGAAAAATAAATAAATAAAAATTCACCAAGGTAGAATAATTTCTCCAAAATAAAGGGGACTCCATCTTGCTTACAAAGGAGGGGAGGAAACACCACCCCGTGCCCCTGCCTTGAATTTTTGAGAAAGGCATGTAAATGAAATAGAGACTTTTTTAGAAGTTGAGGTCTACCTGGGAATTTCCTTGGTTCTTGTTTTTTTTTTCCACGTTCACAACAAGATGATAAATGATAAAAACCCTTAAGTAATTGAAAGAGTTAAAAGGATTTTTGTGTCAGAAGCGTTAGGGGGACAGATGGCACGCACGTAGGTGGGAAAGCTATTATCTACACAGAGGAGGGCTAGTGTCTATTGGAAGGGATTTTTGAGGGTGGCCAGGATCTTCACATTTGGGGGACCAGCTTAAAATATTTACTAGTGGACACAGAAGCAGACGCCAGAGCGTATGGTCAGGAAGGGAGTTAACAGGGTGCCGACAAAGAGGAAGAACGTGGCAGTCGAAGTAACCAAGGGAACGCGAGACGTGGAGAAAATGGCGTTGAGATCCCTCAAAGCCCTGAGAAACTACAAAGCCCCAGGTAATAGGGAAATCGGTTTGGAAAGACTCGTCCTGTTAACCTTCGTGTGAGAAGAAAATAAAGGAAGCGAGCTCTGAATGAGCACCTTGGGCCTTGACCAACGCGCCGATGAGTGAAATGTGTCAAGGAAGTGAAAACTCAGGTGGAGCCTTCAAGTCACAGAGACAGGAAGCCACAAAGGACAGCGCGAGGCCACAAGTCTGATAGTGGGCGGGGCCAGCCGTCAGACCGAAAGTGGGGCATCGCTTTTGCAGTTGAACGTGTCCGTGTTCCCTTTCGTCCTTTTTGAAAACTGGGGGGGTTAGTAACACAAAGCAACATGGAAAACAAACAGGAAAGTTCCCTGGGTTTTGCTGGAACAGGGCCCTCTTCCTGGTGTGTTTTTGGCCCCGAGTAGCAGTGGTCGTGTCACCTGCAGGCCAAGCCACCTCTTTGTCTGCAGGGGGGTGGGGGGGTTGGGGGGGAGAGTGTTTGCCCCGCTCGAACCTCAGGCCGCGTTAGAGATTCATGAGGTCATATTGCTTAAGACATCTCAAAAGTGCTAGATGAATCCAAGGTGGGATCAGCAGCATAACAATCGGCGGTGCTTGTGGATGATCTCCCAGTTTACAGACATTCTTGTTTGAGCTTTAAAATAATAATAATCATTATTATTATTATATTATATATAATATTTAAAATAATTATTATTATATCGATTCTGTAACTCATCAACGATTGCCCCTTTCTTGCAAGTGTGTGATTAACCAAAACGTGAATTAGAAAAGAGAAACAAAGGGGCGCCTGGGTGGCTCAGTCAGTTGGGCATCAGTTGGCTGAACGTGAGTTCGAGCCCCGCGTTGGGCTCTGTGCTGACAGCTCAGTCCGGAGCCTGCTTTGGAGTCTGTGTCTCCCTCTCTCTCTCTGCCTCTTCCCTGCTCATGCTCTGTCTCTCTCTCTCAAAAATGAAAAATAAACATTTGGGGCGCCTGGGTGGCTCAGTCGGTTAAGCTGCCGACTTCGGCTCAGGTCACGATCTCGCGGTCCGTTGAGTTCGAGCCCCGCGTCGGGCTCTGTGCTGACGGCTCAGAGCCTGGAGCCTGTTTCAGATTCTGTGTCTCCCTCTCTCTCTGACCCTCCCCCGTTCATGCTCTGTCTCTTTCTGTCTCAAACATAAATAAACGTTAAAAAAAATTTTTTTAATTAAAAAAATAAACATTAAAAAATTTTTTTTAAAAAGAGAAAAATGTATGAATTTTATTATTGATTATTTAGGAGAAAATCAATGCAGTATAATACAAAATAGCACATACATGTACATATACAGACAAAAACACAAAGAGGGTGCCACATTTACTGCTTCTTTAAACTGTATACTTTTAAAAAGTTTTTTTTTAATGTGTATTTTTGAGAGAGAGACAGAGCACCAGCGGGGGAGGGGCAGAGAGAGAGGGAGACACAGAATCAATCAGAAGCAGGCTCCAGGCTCCTAGCTGTCAGCACAGAGCCGGATGCAGGGCTCGAACTCACAAACTGTGAGATCATGATCTGAGCCAAAGCCGGACACTCAACCGACTGAGCCACCCAGGTGCCCCTAAACTGTATACTTTATATACTAAAAGTAAATACCTGGGCACCTCCATGGTTCAGTCAGTGAAGCATGCGACTCTTGATCTCTGGGTTGTGAGTTCAAGCCCCGTGTTGGGCGTAGACATTACTTAAAAATTTTTTTTAAAATAAAAATAATCACAAACATTGTGGTGAGTTTTAGAAAAGGTCCATATACATATAGATCAGTGGTTCATATGCCTTTTTAATTCATGAACTCCATTGAGAATTGAGTTAAAAAAATTACGGATTCCCCCATCCCCTCCTCAAAAAACTATATAGATCAATATAGATATATAGAGAAGCAAGTTCCCACAAGGGCCGTCTAGGTGACATAAATACGTCAACTGGGCCAAGTGCAGACAATACAGAATAGCGGTGCTTGTGTTGAACTAGAAAGTAATGCCAAGTTAAGACAATAGAGAATGGTAGGGCCTGTGAAAAACTAGGGTTCACATCCTTACCTAAGCCAAATTCAAATTCTCAACAATTTCTAGAAAATAACACCTGCTACATATAACACATTTGAGGTCAGTTTGACTGCAGATCCCTCCGGTTGGCGGTCCAAGGCCCCTTACTGTATTCATTAAACATGGGGGTGTTCTCATTTTTTGGCCCCAAGGCACGTCAGCAAGCTCAAGTACGTCACCAAATGGCCGAGGACAGCAGAGCCGATTACTCGTCAATTCTCCAGAAATTCAACCACGAGCAGCACGAGTATTACCATACTCACATCCCCAACATATTTCAGGTAAGTGATTCAGACCTCCCGAGGTGGCCTTGCTTTGAGAGCCACGTTGCCTTGGAATCACGATGGCTGGGCTTATATGCTGAGTATTTATATAGAGTTCTAAATTTCCTGGCACTGAAGCCATTTTTTAAAGCGTCCGGATCAAGCCTTGACTGGCACCAAGGTGAACTAGAACATTAATCTCAAGGTTAATCAGTTGGCCTTTCCAGACATCCTCGGTTGGTACCTGCAGCCTTTCTTGGCCAGTTTGAGAATTTACAATTCTTAGACTAGTGCCCTTTTCACCGAAAGGACTGTTCTGGTTCTGAAATGCCAACTTAACCTGAGGAGTCCTAGCGGAATTCCTAAGGTGGTAGGATTTGAACAAAGGACAGAACTTTTCTCTGGATTGTTTCTCTTTGGGCTACTTTAGGTTGTCGGAAATGGCATGAAGAAAGATGTATACGTGTTCTCCCGCTTTGGGAATCTTTTACGACTTGTGTCCAGTTGTAGGGAAAATAACAAGTATTTGCGTCTTAGTGTCTACGCACACAGCAAACAAGAAGCTCCAGCTTGTAGAAGGAAGATACACCAGTGACATCTCGGCCTGTGTTGGGTTGAGGCGGTTAACTAACGCCAGGCTTTTGGTAAAGAGTGAAGTAGGGGATCAAAGGCAGAAGAGATAGTCTGAAATGTATCACCGATAAAAGCACTTGAGTTTGGGGTTCTCAATGAAGCTGGAATGGAATCCTATAAAGTATAGTAAAACCTTGGTGTGCGAGCATAATTCATTCCAGAAGCGTGCTTGCAATCCAAAGCACTCGTATATCAAAGTGAATTTTAGGAACCATTGGCTCAGTTGTGATCCTGTGACACTCGGCATCGCGTACTACTCGTTTGCAAGGCGTCGCTCGTTTATCGAGTTAAAGTTTATTAGAGATGTTTGCTTGTCTCGTGGAACACGTGCAGAACAAAGTTACTCGCAATCCAAGGTTTTACTGGATACATTTGGGCAGCCTAACGATTCATAAAATAACGTGTACAGCTGGTGAATGTGGAGGCAATAATTACAATGAATGTCTAGCTCGAACCCTATCGATGGACCTGTTTCCCTCCTAGACTGTTTGCTAGAGGTGACAGTGCCACTGAAGGCAACTTCCGTAAGTAAGAGTGGACTATGTTAATTTCATACAAAATCTAATGTTGCAGAAAATACAGGAGATGGAGGAAAGGAGGATACTGAGGATTGGGGAGTCAATGAAGACCTACGCCGAAGTTGATCGGCAGGTGATTCCGATCATTGGGAAATGCTTGGATGAAATAGTAAAGGCGGCCGAATCGATTGATCAGAAGAATGTAAGTATTGTAGCTTGGACTTAACTTACAACCAAGTATCTCTGGTTCCACCATTTCTTCACCACCGCCTCCAGCGACCTCACTGGATCATCTCGCGGTGGGGAGTTGCTTCCCGTGATCACCAGTACTTTGAGCAGTCGTTATACCGCTTTCAAGTGTTCTCTTCATCCCTCAGGGTTTTGGATTCAGCTCTCAAACTTCTTTTGTGGGAGACACAGATAAGTCTGAGACATCGCAGAATTAAATGGCTTTCTTGTCCGTTGGCTGAATAACCCCCCACATTGGGATCTGGTTCTTTAAGGCACTACTGAGGTTTTGGGCCAGGTATTTCTTTATCGTAGGGGCCTGTCATGAGCACTAAAGGGTGTTTAGAAGCATCCCTGGTTTCTACCCACCAAATGCCGGAAGCACCCCTTCCCAAGTTGTAATGGTCAAAAGTGTCTCTGGACGTTGCGAAATGTCCCCTACAGGGCAACACCGTCTCCATCTGAGAACACTGCTTAGGGCCAGTGTCATTCGTTTGGATTCCTTTCCTAGAAACCTGTTTTCCCTCAATAAAAGTATCGACTAGAACACCAGCATAGGCTTTTACAAACATTCATTAATTTGCAAAACCAAATATTGAACAAAAAGCGATGTCGTAAGTCTTCCTTGTCATACGAGTGTCTTAAAATGAGTCCAGGCGAGGGATCAAAGCCATCTTTTCTGTATGAACATATCTCAGCATGTAGATTTTTCATTGCTCTGAGAATATGTGTGTTAACATTTAAGGCCATGTGTGTAAAAAAACAAAAAACTCTCGTCAATCCAATGTGCAGAAATACTTCCAAATGTGTTAAATGGTAAGTGTTTTTAGGGGGAATAGTTCCAGTAGCAGGCATATTTTTTTCATTTTAGGATTCCTCGACCTCTGTTTTAGTAAATCTGTTTGCCAAGAGCCCTCTTCTTCGGGGACTTCAGCCAACTTTTGGGGGGAAGATTACTGATGCTTCTGAATTAATGGTGTTTCCCTCACAAAACTACGTTGTGCCCACATGGATTCACAAGTGATCAAACCATCCTTTCCTGAAGCTGAAAATTTCTTTATTTGATGGTGGTTTTCTTTATGTCCTTTAAGCATCTGAAGGGAAAAACAGTTTAGACACACGTGACTGGGCTTGCATCCACGCAGTCAAGTTTTTCCATGCAACGAGTGCCTGCTCCGTTTCCTGATTGCCATTGCTTCATCAATTTCATCGATGGTGGCTCATCGATGCCTGGCTCATAGAGGGAAATCAAGTCTCCGTGAGGCTTTTTCTAATCTCCCTATTTAAAATGTCAACGGTCACCAATAAAATACTGTGGGGAGGGACCTTTTAAAGGGAAATAGTAATGGGGCGCCTGGGTGACTCAGTCAGTTGCATGTCCGACTTCGGCTCAGGTCATGATCTCGCGGCTCATGAGTTCGAGCCCCGCATGAGGCTCTGTGCTCCGAGCCTGGAACCTGCTTCCGATTCTGTGTCTCCCTCTATCTCTGCCCCTCCCCACCCCTCTCTTTCTCTCTCTCTCAAAAACGATAAACGTTAAAAAAATTTTTAGAAGTGAGGTCAGTTCTTGACTTTTTTCCTTAGCTTCATTACTTCTGGCATTGATGAAAATCTGAAACAAGCCTGGTTTAAATTTCTTATAGTAAGAAGCTTGGAAATTTCTTTTTCCTTGAAATTTCCTTGAAATTTATCAGATCACGTCTGAAGGATGGGTTTCCCTTTATAGGTTTTATCTGAGAAATTGTGAGCCCACTGGATTTATAGGATATTTCTCCCATTATGGGATCCTTGTTTTCCATTATATCACTGATAATTCTTTCTCACCTGTGACCTTTATGTTGCTAAATCCAAGGGTCTTTCTTTCTTTCTTTCTTTCTTTCTTTCTTTCTTTCTTTCTTTCTTTTAATGTTTATTTATTTATTTATTTATTTATTTTTAATTTTTTTTTTTCAACGTTTATTTATTTTTGGGACAGAGAGAGACAGAGCATGAACGGGGGAGGGGCAGAGAGAGAGGGAGACACAGAATCGGAAACAGGCTCCAGGCTCTGAGCCATCAGCCCAGAGCCCGACGCGGGGCTCGAACTCACGGACCGCGAGATCGTGACCTGGCTGAAGTCGGACGCTTAACCGACTGCGCCACCCAGGCGCCCCAATGTTTATTTATTTTTGAGAGTGAGAGAGACAGAGCATGAGCAGGGAAGGGCAGAGAGGGAGACACAGAATCCAAAGCAGGCTCCAGGCTCTGAGCTGTCAGCACAGAACCCGATGCAGGGCTTGAACTCAGAAGCCGTGAGATCACGGCCTGAGCTGAAGTCGGACGCTCAGCCTACTGAGCCACGCAGGCGCCCCTCCGAGGGTCTTTTCTAGGTCTTCATTCAAGTTCTTATTCAAGTACTTGAAGTATTAGGAGCACTGGCCCCCACTTGGCCACCCCCCTACTTACTCTTCCTTTACGTGATTCCCAGGAAACCATAACGTGATGGCTTTTCCTCACTGCCTCAGTCTCCTTTGCTTATTCGTGTTTTTCTTTCTTCTTGCCATTGAAGGGGGAGTACCCCCGGGCTTTGATCTCGGATCTCTGAACTCTGCCCATTGACTCCTTGGAGCGATCCGTAGACTCTTGGAGCGTTAAGTCCCATCTCAAGTATGAATCACACATGTTACGATCCCAGCCTGGACTCTCCCCTCCACCGCAGGTTCATTCATTCAGTTGCCTAGTGGCTTCTCCTCTTGGAGGTCCAGTATGTTCCTCAAGCTTGGTGTATCCAAAATGGAGCTCCAGACCTGTCTGGCCACACCCGCGCCTCCCGGGGTCCGCACTGCCTCCGTTACAGCATTTCTGTCCTTCCAGTGGCGTGGAATCATCTTTGATGTCCGCCCCCACCCCCCCTTTCTGACACCTGCTTCAACTTATCAGTCCATCCTGCTGGCTTTCCCTTCAGAACCCATACCCTTCTCACCACCTCTCCTGATCCAAGATCTCCATCACCTCGGATTGGGCAGGAGGAGCCCGGATGACTGCAGGAGACCTCTAACTAGTCTTCCACCTTTGTCCCCCACCCCCGTTCATTCTTAACACAGAGACCAGAGGGTTCTTTTTTTTTTTTTTTTTTAAACAATAAGCCAGGTCACATGTCTCCTCTGCTCAGGGCCCTCACAGGGCTTCTGTCTCCCGGAAAAAATCAAAACCACTGGGGCCTCGACGCCCTGAACCATCTGGAACGCACGCCCTCCCGTTTATCCGTCCCACATCGCCTATTCTCTGTTCTCCCCAATGCTGTCTTCCTCATAAGCTCAAAAGGATGCTCCTACCTTGCTGTTCCTCTGCCTGGAATGTTACCTGCCTGGCTTACTCCCTCAACCTTCGGTGTTCCTTGAATGAATGTTTCAATTTGCTTTTTTTTTTTTGAGAATTCAAGGGTGAGATATTCCTTAATCCCTGTGTACCACCTCTCCTTGCACATTCCTTTCCGCCTGCCCTGTTCTCACAGCGTGTTTCAAGTTTATCTTCTTCGGCAGATTCGGCTCTTAGCACAGTTACGTGTGGTCCTGCTGCTTTGATCTTTACACCCTCCGAAACCCATGTTCTTTCCCTTAAGCCCACCACCTTGTTCTTTTTATTTCTAAAACCAGCGCCGTTCCTGGCACACGTCTGGATCTGCCCACTCGCTCGCAAGTGCCAGGCACAGTTCTGAAGTCGGAGACGGACAGTAGCAACATTAAACGAGTGTTAAAACAGGATGAGTGCAGAGCCCCTGGGTGGCTCAGTCAGTTGAGCATCTGACTCTTGGTTTCTGCTCACATCATGATCCCAGGGTCGTCGGATCGAGCCCTGCGTCAGGCTCTGCGCTGTGCATGGAGCCTGCTTAAGATTCTCCCTCTCTCTGTCTCTCTCTCTCTCTCTCCCCCCGCTGTCCCCCTCTCCCCAGCTTGTGTGCTCTCTAAAATAAAGTACAATAAAATAAAATACCAGGATGAGCATTTGGGGGAAAATGAGGTAGGAAAGGGTGTTAGAAGTGCCTGTGGGGTATTCTACCAAGGAGTGACGTTTGAGCAAAGATTTGGAAGAGGTGATTACTTATTTAAATGGGGGAGGAGGTCCTAAAGCCCCCAGCTCTCCAACAAACCGGATGTCCCCTCTCCCCCTTAATGCAGTGTCAGAATCACATGATTACTTAAGCGTTTCCACTGGTTTATTTATGTGAGGTCAGTTTCCACTTATTTTCACATGGCCATGTTTTCGCTAGAGCACAGCGGCGTGCTCACTGGCACACCCGGGCTTGTGGATCCGACTCTGCTAGCGTACGTCTCCCCCCGCGTGTGACCAGAAGCGTAGTGTCTTACACAAGGGGGATTGTTTCCCCTGTCACGTAACGGATGTCTGCAGGCAGAGGGTCCAGTCGTGGCGTGGACAGATGTCTCTGAGACCTCAGGGACCCGGGCTTCTCTTAGCTCACAGCTTTTGATGATGTGACCTTCAAACTCAACGTGGCTTCTGGAGCTCCAGCCATCACGTCCGACTTCCAGAAAGCAGAATATAGAGAAGGGCCCACACCATCCCTTTAAAGAGTTTTCATAAAATGGTGCCCTGTCCTGTCTACGTCTCAGAGATCTCAGAGGTCAAAAGTTAGGTGGTCTGGGGCGCCTGGCTGGCTCAGTCGGTTAGGCGTCCGACTTTGGCTCAGGTCATGATCTCATGGTTCACGGGTTTGAGCCCCACGTTGGGCTCTGTGCTGACAGCTGAGAGCCTAGAGCCTGCTTCAGATTCTGTGTCTTCCTCTCTCTCTGCCCCTCCCCGGCTCGTGCTCTGTCTCTCTCTCTCCGTCCCTCCCTCTCTCAAAAATAAACATTAAAACAAAATTTTAAAATAATAAAAACAAACCAAAAAAAAGAATTGAGATCTTCCCAGGGGCACCTGGGCGGCTCAGTCAGTTAAGCGTCTGACTCTGGCTCAGGTCATGTTCTCACGGTTCGAGGGTTCAAGCCCTGTCCTGGGTGGTGCCTGCTTGGGATTCTCTCTCTCGCGCTCGCTCTCTGCGCCTGTCCCTCGTTCTCTTTCTCTCAAAATAAATAAATAAAAGAAAAGAAAAGAACTGAGATCTTTCTAGGTTGCCTTCTCTATAGTTACTTTCTTTAACTTTTTAAATGCTTATCTGTTTTTGAGAGAGAGTGAGACTGTGTGAGTGCGGGCAGGGCCGAGAGAGAGGGAGACAAGAATCCAAAGCAGCCTCCGGGCTCTGAGCCGTCAGCACAGAGCCCGACGTGGGACTCGAACTCATGAGAACTCGAACTCATGAGATCGTGACCTGAGTTGAAGTCAGACACTTACCCGGCTGAGCCACTCAGGCGCCCCTGTGATATTTTATGTATACATCTATCTTTCTATGACATTATGGCTGTGATTGCCTCACACGTTTGTCTGCGCTCTCTGACCCTGAGAAGGTGAGGCACCCAGAGTTCCTAGCAGCGTGCACGCCGTAGAGTTCATTGATTTATTCAGCAAACATTTGTTGCCCACGGTTCTCCCCAGGCACCATCCATGTTCTGGGGATACAGTAGAGGAAAAACAGAAGGGAGCTTGCCTTTGGGACTGTGAACAAATGCATACATAAGGAAAAATCATGCGATGAATTAAAACCCCTGAACCACAATGAACCAAAGAAATGAGAGCGATGATCTCCTCTTGGCTTTGACTTTGGGGGGGTGCTAAATTACCTTAGGAATTTCTGGTGAGAACCAGACTTTTGTATTACTGTAGTTTTCAAGGGAATTGCGTAACAGCTGTTCATTTTTTCCTCCTGCTTTTAGCAAAGTCATTCTTCCTTAGTATTTGTTTCTCTATATGTGGACAGGTGGTTCTTAAAAGTATTCTCCCATCTCCATTAGACACATACCTTTACAAATGGCACGAAGTCTTTCTAGTTATAAAAATATTTCTGGAGGGTCGCCTGGGAGGCTCAGTCGGTCAAGTGCCCAACTCTTTTTTTTTTTTTTTAAATTTTTTTTTTTTAACGTTTATTTATTTTTTTGGGACAGAGAGAGACAGAGCATGAACGGGGGAGGGGCAGAGAGAGAGGGAGACACAGAATCAGAAACAGGGTCCAGGCTCTGAGCCGTCAGCCCAGAGCCCGACGCGGGGCTCGAACTCACGGACCGCGAGATCGTGACCTGGCTGAAGTCGGACGCTTAACCGACTGCGCCACCCAGGCGCCCCCAAGTGCCCAACTCTTGATTTCAGCTCAGGTCATGATCTCACGGTTTGTGAGTTCGAGCCCCGCGTCGGGCTCTGGGCTAACATCCTGGAGCCTGAAGCCTGCTTCAGGCTCTCTCTCTTCCTCCCCTGCTCGCTCTCTGTTTCTCTCTCAAAGATAAATAAAGATTTAAACAAACTTTTAACAAGAGAAAAAGAAAAAAATATATATGTTTGACTAGAAAAAAATCTGTTATTAACCAATATAGATACAATTCTGTGAGTCCTTATGTGGACAAAATTCTTTACCCGGTCAGCTGTATGATCATAATTCATTGTGTAAAAGGTATTTGCACGTATTTAAATGCATTCCTGTTTGGTGGGTGTCATTTCAGGATTCGCAGCTGGTCATAGAAGCTTACAAGTCCGGCTTTGAGCCTCCCGGGGACATTGAATTTGAGGATTACACTCAGCCGATGAAGCGCACTGTGTCAGATAACAGCCTCTCGAATTCCAGAGGAGAAGGCAAACCGGAGCTCAAATTTGGTGGCAAATCCAAAGGAAAGTTGTGGCCCTTCATCAAAAAAAATAAGGTACTGATGGTTGGACCCGGTGTGAAAGGAGTTTTATAAAGTGTGGCGATTTTTGACTTTCTCTGTTAAGCCTTTAAAAAACAAACAAACAAGCAAAGAATTTTAAACAGAACGCAGAATGCACAGAAAGGAAAGCTAGTGAGCTGTTTTATTTTGAACCATCATTTCTCTTTGGTGGCGGAACCTTTGCCATGGCCATTTGTCTGACTTCCGATGCATTACCACTTTGTACCGTGTCGCCCACGCTAACCCTGACCTCTACTGACCTCTCGGCCATTTCCCATCATGCCTTTCACTGCTAAGTCTCCCAGACGCCCGGTCGCCTCGGCTGGGAGAGGGGTTACCGCACAGAATTCCGATAACGATTTATCAGCAGATCTCATTGGAATCGCTTCCATGGGTTAATAACTCGGTGTTGAACTCGTGTTAACCTGTGTGCGTCCATGACCATTTTTTGCGTTTTCTTTTGATAGTGTGATGCGCCAGGCGCATGGCCGCTCTAACCTGGGCGTCGGCTGTGGTCAAGGCCGCGTGACTGCTTTTGCCTCAGGATAACTTGCTCTGTGCTTCGCCGAGGCTGTCGGGTCCTTCATTTCCTCCCCCCAAGCTCAGCTCTGTTAGCGTAGGCGGGTCAGAAGTCTTGGCCCTTTTGGCTCTAACGGGTTTGGCGTAACTAACCAGAAGCCCTAGTTTGCATGTGGAAAGTCTGCATGAGCTGCTGGTCAGATATCCCTTGGTCTTCTTTTGTTGCTTCTACTTACTAAAAACTTCCCCTTTCGTCACATGCCCCAGTGTTTTCTTTTGGACCATGGCCGGGATAGTCGATCGTTTTGCGTTGTACTTGCTTTGGATTTCCAATATGATTTGATGCTTATTTTTGTTTTGTGTCTTATCTTCTTGTTTCTGATTTTACTCTGTCACTGCTCCGTCTCTCACATGTAGCTTATGTCCCTTTTAACATCCCCCCATCAGCCTCCCCCTCCTCCCCCTGCCTCTGCCTTACCCACTGCTGTTCCCAACGGCCCCCAGTCTCCCAAGCAGCAAAAGGAACCCCTCTCCCATCGCTTCAACGAGTTCATGACCTCCAAACCCAAAATCCACTGCTTCAGGAGCCTAAAGCGTGGGGTAAGTTCCGCTCCGGAATCCTGTCTCTCTCGTGCGCTTGGGTTGTGTGTTTGGCTCTGCGTCACTTTATCTCGTTTGTGAGTTGAACCCGTTGTGTTTGCCCATAACGTGAAACCGTAAGGGCCTGTGATTCCTCATAGCTAGACAGAAGGACAACGATAGAGAGAGGGGAGGAGGAAGGAGGAAGGAGAATGGACGGAAAGAAGAAGGGAAAGCCAGCCAGCCCGGGGCTCTGTGCGCCCTTGGCGCATTTCGGAAGGACTTTTCTCCACTTCCCTTTGAAAACATCTAAGTCATTAATATTTTACCAAAAAAGGAAAGCTTCGGTTCGCTCTCTGAAGCCAGTGGCAGACGAGATGAGGAATTGGAAGTCACTGTACGCTCAGAAAATACTTGCTTGTTAATTCCCAAAACCACCTGAGTGTCGCCGAGGCACTTCTCTCCGGGCTGAGCCTCAGGGTTCGGAGGGCGGAGATGTCATGAGTTTACAGTGGTTTCTTTTTTTTTTTTTTAATTTTTTTTTTTTTTTAACATTTATTTATTTTTGAGACAGAGAGACAGAGCATGAATGGGGGAGGATCAGAGAGAGAGAGGGAGACACAGAATCCAAAGCAGGCTCTGAGCTGTCAGCACAGAGCCTGACACGGGGCTCGAACTCACTGACTGTGAGATCATGACCTGAGCTGAAGTCGGACACTCAACCAACTGAGCCACCCAGGTGCCCCTAATGTTTATTTATTTTTGATAGAGACAGAGACAGAGCGTGAGCAGGGGTGGGGCGGAGAGAGAGGGAGACACAGAATCGGAAGCAGGCTCCAGGCTCTGAGCCATCAGCCCAGAGCCCGACGCGGGGCTCGAACTCACGGACCGCGAGACCGCGAGATGGTGACCTGAGCCGAAGTCGGACGCTCAACCGACTGAGCCACCCAGGCGCCCCTACAGTGGTTTCTTTAGCTGTTTGGCTGAACTTAAGAGACTGATAAAATACCTGTTGACCAGAAGAGGCCAAACGCAGTATTTGTCTTTAAAGGGTGAAAGTAAGAAGCCGCTGACGTTTATCGAGCGCTTCTGATGTACCAGACCCTGTTCTGTGTGCTCGTTTGCTTTTCCTTCAGCCGCCCTCCGAACCTAGGTACCGAGGTTTCCTTATCTTACTGGCAAGAAAACTAAGGCATAAAAAAAAGATGAACTTAGGAAGACGGCGAGCCACAATGAAAGCCAGAGAGCCCGCTCGTCACACGCCGAGGTTTTGCGACATCCACATTCAGGGAGAACCTGGCACCACACGGTCGACGCGCCAGTGGCGGTCATTTATACTCCAGGTTGCCACGCTGATTACCATTGCCTGGCTTCACTCCCAGGGTCTTGTGGAGTTGATCCAGGAACCAAAAGTAGATACGAGTGTGGTTTACGGGAAAAGATTGGAATAGAGTCAGCCGTAGCCTCCCAGATAAATCTAACCGATCAGTGGACTCTAAGCCACACCCCCAATACTCTTCATGACCAATAACGAGTGAAGCGTGGCGATGAAGAGCAAACAGACACATGGCGCGGTGACGTATCCAGTAAAGGTCTTTTGTCCTGACCTTCGGGGATCGCCGTCCGGTGGCAGGGGGGTGTTGTTCTTGTACCGACATGATTTTTACTCTTCCCCTCCTTGGGGTAAAAAAGGAGTGTAAGTAAATAACAGCCAACTAAGTTGTTGCCTTTTAAAACAAGGGACAGCCCATCTGCTAAAATTGGAACGATACAGAGGGGATTAGCGTGGTCCCTATGTGAGAGTGACACACAGAATCATGAAACGTTCCATTTTTTTAAATGTCTATTTATTTATTGTTGAGAGAGAGAGAGAGAGAGAGCGAGTGTGAGTACACGAGCGAGGGAGGGGCAGAGAGAGAGGGAGACGCAGAATCCAAAGGAGGCTCCAGGCTCCGAGCCGTCAGCACAGAGCCCGACGCGGGGCTCGAACTCACGACTGCGAGATCATGACCTGAGCCGAAGTCGGACGCTTAACTGACTGAGCCACCCAGGCGCCCCTGCGCGTCCCATATTTTAAAAATAAATAAGTAAACAGAACAAGGGACAACCCCCCTATTTCTTTATATGCAGAGTTTCTTTCATCGGGGAATCCCAGTGTTTCATGCAAAGAATCTGTATTGTTGGTGGGATTATTTTGTTTTAAGGTTACCCAGCGTGTCAGGTTAAGAATTAGAGATTTGACTTCCGCAAGACTTCAGGAGAGCCGTTGTTAGGAGGCAGAGTATAGCATCACAAGTAGATGACAGAGCGCGTTGAGCTCTATAATGAGATCTCAATCCCTGACTCGATCAGGCTGGCTTTTAACACGCCCGTCCATCCCGCTTTTACTCCTGGAAGAATTTCCAACATCTGGCCAGGGTATTTTTGCTCGACTGTATAAAGTGTTACATCAACTGTAAGTCTGTTAACCCATCTCGGCCACTTCCAAAACCTTTACAGAGCGCTCATTTATTATATTTCTAATAAACCCCTCTGCACGGTCTTTTGGAATCTCCTAATGGAGTATGTTGAATATCCGTGATTGTTTCCCATTTGTTTGTGTCTCTTCCATTCTGTCAACACCACACAGCCTGTCGGTTGCAAATGGTTTCTGAATCTGTGTCTCATGCTGTTCTCTGAATGTTTCAGAAAAGACCAAAGAATGTCAGTAATCAATAAGCGTACGGGAAAGATGGCTAGGAAAAATGTAACACTTAACACAGTGAAATGAGAAACCAGCTATTATGAGGATTTAAAGGAAAATCCCTTTTAAAAAAAAAATGGTCATCAGCAAAATGAAGTTTATTTCTTACTCTTTAAACCTGTGCTCAGCAAAAACAGGGTTAACAAAATTTCTCCTCAATAGTGAGTGTGCTTTTCTGAGAGTGAACTCACACATACACAGACTGGAAACATCAGTAAGGAAATAGAAACATACTTCTGCCTCCCTCAACTTTTGCTCAGTCTGCTCTTAGCAAAGGTCACATTTGATGACCCTTCCTTCAGGAAGTCGCAGTCAACAAAAAGGAAAGAAAAACAAAAAGGAAACTCATGACCGGAGTACGATTAGGAAGTTCAAAAATAAAAAGCAATCTGAGGTTTGGGGAAACAAATTTCATTTTATTCTTTTTAATTTATTATTTTTTAACAAATTGGATGTAAAGCAACCCTACCAGGCAAGGGTGTTGTAAGCCGTTGGCATCTGCAAGAAAATTCTGTTTCACTGAACATTTGTACAGCAGGTCACCTGAGCACGATTAGCCATGTTTTCATCTTTCCGTAAGAAAAATGAAACTAGAAAGTATGGTCTCGGTTTGCCATTTACAGATGTAATTTTATTGCCTTAAATTAAGATTTCTTTTCCTGGGCTGGGCAAGGGCCTTCTAAATCTAAAACATGGACATCTTTTCCCCCACGTTTGAGAGCTCGTTGCATGGAAAAATCCCATCAAAGTGGATGAAAAGATTTGGAAAGTCCTTACCGACCGACCGTTTGTCAGATGTTGCGGTTTTATGGTTACTGTAATTTTTTATTTATTTTATCTTGTTCTCTCGCTGATTATTGGCAGACTCAGTCTTTCTGTTTTCACAAAGAACTCATGAAGAGGACGATAGGGAAGCCCACGTATGCTTTTGAAGCTAGGGACTATGTTGTAAGTTTCCATGTGTCGGCCAGGTCATTCAGTCACAGCACAGGCACTAACCCCTATGACAGCACCAAGACTGGGGACCCAGCAATGAAATTCTCCACTGGCGGACCTGGACACAGGAAAAGCCTAATTCTCAGTATAAATGCAATCCCAAGCTCCTTCATCCGGAAAGCTTGGGGCGGGAGGGGGGAAGGGAACCCAACTTCCCAATAACCACCAAACTGCCTAAAAATGCCAGTGAGCTGAGCTCGGCCGTCTGAGACGATGTCCCTGGGTATATGCCTTTACGGCAGAGTCTCACCCATAAGCGCAGCCACAGAGCGTGGTCCCAGGAGAAGGACACTGTTAACGGACGGCAGTTGCGTAGCAAGAGGGCTCACGATCCGGTCTGAAACAGGTGGATCCGTAAGGGGGTTATGCCGTAAAGCTTGGAGGGCCGGAATGACCACTGAAGCAATGAGCAAGGTCATAGGGTCGTACCGTGACTTTCCATGGACCTTAAACACATTTACTCGTGTATTTATTTTCACCGTCCCCTTTCTTCGTACTTGAGGTTAGTACCTGCGGCTGCAGAATAACACATGGACCCGCTGGCTCTGTGTTCCCTCATGTGTTATTGACACGTGTGGCTTCCAAGGCTCCATACTCGTTGCCTGAAACTGACAGCTTCTTAGTTCCCCGGGTGTCTCGCAGCGCACTTAATGCCGTCTTTGAAAACGATTCTCTTAAATGATTCGGTTTCTAATGTTAAATGATCTAACTGGCTGGCTTACAACTCACGACCGAAAACCAGTTTATAATAATCGTTACAGGAATACACGGCACCGTGCTGGTGCTTTATGTAGATTACCCATCACGGTCCGCTTCGGAAAATCGAATTTTGTCTTGAAAACTCGGTATTTTCCTATTGGTGCTCGGATTTGTTTCCAGTCCTCATGATTCGTTTTCATTATGAAGTGGTGATATTCCCGTGCCATGAGGTTGGATGTTAGAATTCTTCTTTCGGGATGCTTAAGGAAGAATACATAACTTGCATACATATATAAGTGACCGAAGTAGCCGAATAGAGAGCAGGTAACGTATGAAGTTCAAATGCCGGTTCTTTGAATTAGCAGCATTGAAGACGATAACGTGTGAGGAGACATCTGTAGGTGGTAGTGTGCTTTCTAGGGAAGATATTCGCAAAGTTTTCTGCTGTGCACCCGGTGTTGTCTGTAAAGAACCCAAGTCGTGACAAACTGATCTGTGCTAAAGCTCACAGGAGGGGCGCACAAGACAGTCGCGAGTGTGCCTGTGTGTACCGTGTTCTCCCAAAAGTTTTGTCCGACCACTTCTTTCCTTCAAAGTCTTTCTTTTTCCCCCATAAGGGCAATGTCTTTAAAAGCTTCCTGCCTATTTAAAAAGAAGCGTCCATTTTGAGTTAATCTTAAGAATAAGATTTTTTAAATCTGGCTAAGGAATTTTAACACCCTCCCCACCCGCCACTTAAAATCAAAGGGCCCTTTCTTCGGTGCTTTGTCCCCAACATATTTTTGATCCTACTACAGCTGCCGGAACTTTTAGGATTGACGACAGCTAAGCAAAAAGGCACTGCGATCTCAAAACACTGCTTTATAGCCATAGAGCATGTCCCCCCCCTGTTAACGAAGAATCGAATGTTTCGTTTGCTAATTCGGAGATGCCTCGTCATCTGTTTTGTGTCGAGGAATCACTATACCTTTGCTAATCTGCAGGCCCAGCAGAATTGCACCTGCTGTGTCCTGATAATTCCCAGGAAATCCACAGCAAGGAGTAAGTGTCCCTCGGTAGTTGAGAAGGTTACCTAAAGGTAACCTTCAGAGCAGCTGCTGCTGTTAATTCCCCAAGTGCTATGTAACCCCCGGGGGTAGGGCTCAGAGTGGATGGAGAGCCTCTGAATACACCTGCCACGGGGCAGGAGGTGGTGAGCGGTGCTCAGGTGGGAGAGAACAATGTCCCGCCTCCAGCCTGGTGCAGAGAGGCTTTCTGGCTCCTGTGGGTGGTTTCCTCAAGCAACTTCCGGTCCCTGGTCCCCCGTTCACCCACTCGAGAGTGGGTGCCTTTAAGAAATGCCAGTGATTAGAGTTCCTTAGGATGGATTACTTGTACCTTATGGAAGTCCTCGCTCTCCAGACCCCCGCTGTGAGTAAAACATTCCATGTGAAATTTGGTGAACAAAAGCCTACCTGATTATTCTTGGCTTTTACTATCCGCATGTGTTACCCACTGCAAACGTAATTTAGCTCATCTCCAGGCTGATGTGACCGATACAGAACTGTGAACAGAAACTCTCCTCTTCTATCTTTATTCTTTGCTCTGGCAACGTGGCAGCTAAAAGAAGGTTTTTGGCAGGGGCCAGCCCCTCTTGTGAACGTTTGCACAGATCCGCTGCAAGCCATTTGCACAAGCGACAGGTGAATTTATGTGCTATGTTAATACGGTAGAACTGGTCGAGTTCCTCTTCTTCTGATGTGTTGTCTCTCTCTCTTTTTTTCCCGTTACCTCTTCAATTTTTACATGAAGCTTTCTCTCAAGCTGGTAAGCACAATTATTCTATGCATGTCCTGAATCTAATCAGCTTTTTTTTTTTTTTTTTTTTTGGGTGTGTGTTTCCTTTGCGTGTGCTTTTGCTGGTGTTTTTTCATCAGACCTTTGCAAAACAAAGGTCCAAAATCTAATAGGGGCGATCTTAATCTTTTCAAGTTGCTAAGAAAATTAACGCTTAACTCTTGATTTGGTTTTCTTTCTTATTGGGGCCTTAAGAGGATGGCAGGTATTCATAAGCTTTATTTAAGTGCGAGCATAAATAGAAATACTCAATATCGGGGGGGTGGCTCATGGGATCATTTGGAGTCAAGGTAAACTTCGCAGCTGGAGGGTGCTCCTCCCTGGGGACCCCAGAAGCAGATGGAAGATGTGGGGAGCCTGAAGGACACGTGCAGGGATGGTGCTGGTCTCAAACTCAGGTCCGAGGCAGCCTGCGAGAATCGCAAGCCACGGAATCTTTAAAGTTGCTACATAAATACGTGGGTGCCTTGTGCATAGCTGATTTAAGAAATCACAAGGTGACTTTACAGACACCGGAAGGAGCCTCCTAAGCCTTTCTAAAATCATGTACTTAGTGTTCTGTGTTGTTCCTACCTACTTGCATATAGCCCTAGTAAACAGACTAATCATTATTAAATTTCTTAAAAGAAACTCTTAACTCTATAACCCTTAACTGTACTTCAGTTACGTGTAACTTACATAGTAGTCTCAACGGCACAGCTGAGAATTTCCTAAGATTATGGACCATGATAAATTGCAACAATTCAACCAGGGATGAATGAAGTCAGCACTTTCTGCAATTCTGTTGATAATGCAGGATAAGAGTTTCTGGTTATCCTGATGTACACATTTGTACGCGTGCATGTATATGTATATGTGCGCATATACAGAATTTTTTCCACCTGACTCAGTGTTTGGCAACCAACTCAACCCTAAAGAAAAGGAATATTTTAGGGGTGCCTGGCTGGCTCAGTCCTAGAGCATGTGACTCTTGATCTCAGAGTCATGAGTTCAAGCTCCGCGTTGGGCGTGGAGCGTACTTAAACACACGCATGTGCGCACACACACATTTATTTGATCCTAGCATTCATTTATCAAGAATTAAGCCCAAATGGACTCACTGGTGAATTCTACCAAATATTTCGGGAAGAAATTCTATCAGTTCTCTATAATTTCTTTCAGAAGATCGAAGCAGAGGAAATACTTCCTAACTCATTCTCTGGGGCCAGCATTACCCTAACGCCAAAACCAGAAGAGGGAAGGAAGGAAGGAAGGAAGGAAGGAAGGAAGGAAGGAAGGAAGGAA